TTTAATATTAATATTTTATTTCTATTTTATTTTTAATTTTATTATTATTTTTAATTTGATATTTATTCTTTTTTATGATATTATTTTATTTCTTTTTATATATATATATATATATATATATATATATATATATATATATATGTATATTTTTATTATAATTTTATATAATTAAAAATAATATTTTTAATACAAAAATTTAAAATATAACATAAAATCTAAAATTTAAATGATAATAGAGATAGAAATTACTAACCTCAATTATATTCTGCTCATGGCAATAACTTCTTTCTATTCCAAAAATCGCCACAAATTCAATTTTGATTCAATAGCATTACATGCTTACTACTAAAAACTCAACTTTAAGTTACTTGCTCTCAAAAATTTCTATAATAAGATAATTACTAGGCACTAAGAAATGCCTTTCTAAACAAAGGGTACATAAAACTTCAAAAGCTGTGAATCTCTTCTTAATCTAAAATTCACTAAACTTTCAAATTAAATTTAATTTGAATATATTATAGCTTTTTGAAAAGCTAGCATCATGATACACAACGTCAAAAAGTTTCAAGACAAAAGATATAACATATAAAAATTGATTGATAAAAATTGGATAGCAATCCACATTCAATTCAATCATTGAAATCCTTGACTATCTTATAAAGTGAAAATTTGAAATGCTTTGTTTTTTTACAAATAAGAAAGAAATGTAAAATACTTACTAATGATGAAAACCTTTTTACATTTCTTACTAAATAAAACCAAGTAAGATCAATCACAACAAGCAACTTCATATTCACATACACTATTAGAAGCACCATCTTCCAACAAATGTACCAAAATGTGAGTGTAATATTCACTCTTCAATTCAATTACAAGATGGCTCCAATTAAGAGTTTCTTGTAATGGGTGGTGTAGAGTGGAAGTAGCAAGAATAAGAATAAAAGAAGCAAAACACAAACAAGTGGAACAAGTGCAATCAAGCAATTGTATACTACAAAACTAGCTATAGTTTTTTCATTGAATTCTTACCTAGTAAAAAGTAAAAATTAAAAATTAAAAATTAAAAAATTATACTATAGAAAGTGAATTTTTTTATCTTTCTAATGATATAAAAAGCATATAAATCCAAGTTACTATGAATAAATTATGAAGGTTTAAAAAAAACACAAGTAAATAAATAAAAAATTAAGTAAATGATTTTTATCTCAAGGATAACTTACTTAAGAGATCAGAAGTTTGAGCCTCACTAAGGCTCATAAGTAGTATATATGGATCTCTAAGAAAGGCCGTAATGCCTTAGTCTTACCTTCCTATTTTCTACTAGTAAAATCAATATTTTGCATTTTTGACTTCACTATAGTCTTTAAAAACATCCAATTGGCTTAGGAACCTATTGTGGCATTCAAATCTTGCTCCATTTCTTAATAGTGGCTCCCGAAGTGATAAAATTCATTTTTATCAAAATCTTGGAAATTACTCTAAAAATTCCTAAAATATTTTAAATAAATTCTAAATAGATTTTTAAAATTTATATAATAATTTATAATATTAAAATAAAATTTAAGCTATATTTTCTTACTTTGATAATTTTTTATAGTAATAAAATCAATTTAAATCTACTATAAATTCTACTTTCTATATAACTATCTAAAAAGACATGAGGTTCTTTTTTATCCTTCTTCTCACTACTAACTAACATTTATAAATTTTCTAATAAGTAATATGTATAGATAGAAGACCAATATAAATATTGACTTTAATAAATATTCCTCAATAATCAATAAGAAGTAAAAAATACTAAACCAACTAAGATAATTGCCTCCAAGACTTACTAAGACTCTAATTCTACAATTAACATTCTAATTTTCTATTTCTCTATAGATTTCAATACTATTCACCATATATTGTGATTGTAAGCACTCTAAAAGAATCTTTTTATTCTAAAACAACTAGTGAGTTGATTTGATGACTCACAAGACTGGACTATCTCAAAAATATAAAATCCTTCTAATCTAAATGAGTATAAATTCCATCACAATGTAGGATAGATCAAACTTCAACAACAACAACAACAAAAAAAAAAAAAAAAAAAAAAAAAAAAAAAAAAAATTGAACAAGAAGCAAACTTTACTAAGAGAAAGGATCCAAAGCCATATATGACGAAATATCCAAATGGCCTTAATTAGTCCTATTTATATTTTTTTCAACTATCCTAAAATTTTCTAAAATATTTCTAATGATGGATCCCACCTAGATAACCACTCTAAAGTCTTTTTAAAATGTTTTATGGTGGATCCTACATAGTCCAATAACTTAGCCCCAATTCTACAAACTTCTATAAACTTCTCAAATATGATTCCAACTATCTATCTCTATGCATCAATAATATAAAAATCTTATTTATATTCCATTACAATTCAAATACAAAGCATATCTAGGCATGCAAGCATACTTTTAGGTACCTCCAAGATTCAATTGATATATACATTAAATATTACTATAATTTATTACCATTGCATTCCATATTCAACTATAACAATATTGATTAGGCAAATAAAAATGACAAACAACAATCAATTTTTAGATATTATTTTATGATGTTTCAAGGCTTCATCAATTGGGATTCTACTTACGAATGGCTAGTGCCCTATCTAGTACAATAGCAAAATATATAGCTACAGTGTCAAGGTAGAGAGATTTGCCTTAAGAAAGCATTGGACTTCTAGTTATTACTAATTACTCAACCAAGTCTCAAGATTAAAAAAAAAAAAAAAAAAAAAAAAAACACCAATTTTATCTATAAAATTATTTCTATATGAGAAATTACATCAATACATAGGCCTTAAGTACCAAAGATCACCAAAAATGTAACAAAAAAATAATAAAATCTTATATATTCTTAAAGTGAATTTTTCCCAACTTCAATAGCTCATATCTCACAATTGGACCATCCAAACATATTAAAATTTTATATGAAGTATTGATGTACTTTCAGCAAGTGCCACAACAAATTTCAATTGCAAATTTGTTACGGATCTTGAAATATTGCCAAAATCCTTATAGTAGCTTCAAACCCTTACTTACATACACTTATATGCAATTTTCTTCATATCTCACAAATTAAGTATTTAAATACCATAAATTTTGATATTTAGCTTTTTAACCTAATAACACACACTTTTAGAAATTTTGAGCCAAAAATTTGGCCGAAAATTCAAGATATGGCTCCAACCATTACTATCAACAAAACAACTCATTTACTACCTTTGAATTACATGTACTCTCTTCAATGCTCTATAACTCCTTCATACAAATTCCAAATATAAAAATTCTTTCACAAAAGACATAGATCTTGAAATCACCCTTCTGATTGCATCTTTTGATTTTTAAAATATATTATAAAATTCCTTGTATCTTCAAAAGAGCAACAATATGTCTTAAAATGACACCTTAACTTCAAATGGCTATAACTTCATTATTCTTATTTCAAATCCTCTAAAATTTATACACAAATTGTAGCTCAAACCTTAAACCTTATGATCTTTGCTTTCAATTCTCAAATGCCTCTTTTGAAGTCATTGAAATCTTTTTTATGATCACAGACAACCTGCTAAATTACAATTGTAATCAATTACAATATATAATATCTAAAATATAATACATAAATATTACAATTTACAGTAATTATATCAATTACAATACAACAATGGCCACTGCCACCTTTGAAGCAATTTGGTTGTACTACCTTATAAGTAACCTCCATCAAACCACCACCCTTGAATCTACAACCTTAATACATTGTAATGACCAATTTGCATCAGTTTTAGTCAATACCACTAAGTTCCAATCTTGTAGGAAGTATATTAACATTTGATACCATTTTATTTCTCAACTCAACAACCTCAACATAATCAGATTCACATATTGACCTGTAAAGTCCATAAGCCCTAACATCTCCCCAAGCCGTTGTCTAGCCCAAAGCTTACGAAACATCTTTTATTGATTGGCGTTCTTGGAGGAGAACTTAACCTATACCACATCTTGGTTACCAAGGCATATTAGAAATCAGCAATCAAACATTAAATAATAACCAATTTGTGGTATGATAAACACTAAACAAATATTGTCAATGGATCATGACCCTTCTTAGGCACACCTCTCTCAATATGATAAATTGAAATACAAAACAATATTCAGCATTTTTAGGTATAAAAAAAGTTACAACTCATTGTTTTACATGAAACTGAATTACACTCCTAATTTCAATACTGACAACCTTAATGAGGTAGATCGCAGACAATGTTGATGGCACACACTACCCTTACACATGCAGTAGAAAGGCTTGAGGTTCAAGGAGTAGGCGATCCAATGATCGTCTCGTGGTCGCTGTGTGTTGCATCAAAGAAAAGTAAATGTTGCATTGTTATGAGCCCTCCACCTCACAGAGAATAAATGGCGAAAAATTTGTGAACTCAATTTTGTCTGTGGTTGTCGTTTCCACTATTGCGGACCTGTATCAAATAGGTGCCTGTGTTGAGTTCGTTTTCCTTTCGGTTTTATGTGCGAATGTGAGGTTCTAGAACCACTGGGTCGAGGCTAAACTAGTTAGAATGGTTGTGGACAGGTGTTGTAGTTCTCTACTCTAAGTCAGCAACCACAGGAGTTCTTTACAATGCATGATTCGAGTTATGGAAAATCATACAACAGAAAGCTGAATTGTATAGATAGAACAAGAGTTACGAAGAAATCTTCGCCTTAGTCCAGCCTCTAGTGTGATGTGCCCTATAGTTTCACTTCATGGATTTCGAAACCTGCCACAACTTGGATGCTGCTGGATGATTTTAGATACCAATTGTACGTATGAAGCCCCTATCTAATTCGAACTATAGGGTGGTGAATGATCGATACACATTTCCTCTCCAGAATATGTACCAGGTGAAAACATAAAATACTGCCTAGACCCCAACGTGTACCAAGACGAATCATAACCCAGTCTCGGAGACGAGATAACACAAGAATACATAGATTCTGCTGACATTCCTCATTCGCCAGAAAGGCAAAAGGTACAAATAAAAGTGCTTTGAATTGGAAGCAAATGTTTGAGAGAAGATGAATGGTTCAATGGGAGTGATGAGGCGCGCCAGAATCAGAGTGGGGCTCAAAATTCATCCATCCAGCAGACGTTTCCACACCGGTGAGCATGGAAAGGTCAGATTGGTTCGCCCACGGGACTCCATTGTAAGGAGGGAGATTAATTGCAGAACTACTTGATGTAGGCATTCTGATCTGGTATTGTCCAATGTTCGCTACAGGAGCTGCATTAGCGGCTGGATTAAGGATACCCGCTGAAGGAGCTACCGAAACTCTTGCTTGGGCAGCTGATGGGCTTTGATTTATTGCACTTCGTCCAATCGAGTTAGGCGCGATACTCCCTCTCATGCGTCCTGCAGGTCGCCAGGATGTTTCCGAGGGTGAAGCCTGTACTGGACTTGCACTGCCAGATGGCCGCTGCCCTGAAGGACCGCCCCGAGCTTGTTGTGCAGTAGTTACAGGCCCTCGCCGTTGCTGCTGGCGTGTCTGGCCAAGATCCTGCTCATTATGAATAACATACCACACGAATAAACTACTGGTGAGGTCGTGGCCAGAAGCAAGACAATAATTACTTGACAAGAAAAAAATTATGAAGAGAACAAACAAGATTGGCATTGAAAACGTGTTTCAGAATATAAGATGTACGTATATCCAGTGATAAAATACTGACTAGTGAGCAGGGACCACAGAAGTTGCAAGTTTATAAGCCACACAACGTAAGACTACGATTACTATTTGAAAACGGATGGAACTGAAAGAGTGAGTATCACAAAGACCAGTATTAAAGGCTTGCATCTCAATTTAAAACTATATTCCTCTTCCTTAATGTTATAAAAGCGGGGTGGACTCGGGATGTAACCCTTTCGAATTGAACGAACACCTGAGAATTTCCTAAGGACTGTTGCCCAGCTTGCCGCTGCCGAACCGACTGCAAACAACTTGATTGGTTAGCGAGATTGGAATGGTCAACTAGATGACTTACACGAAGCCTCTTTAAGACAACAGGAATTGTTAATCAGCTATTATATTTTCATAATAATTCCCTCAGATATAGCTATATTCGTGCTAGCTCACATTACTTTAATCCACCAGAAACATTCATCATACTCAAATGCGCATGTAAGCATATAAGAAGAAAATCAAAAGGTCGTGACGATTGGGTCACTCACCGCAGTTTCTCCACGCCACGGAGCGCGGGCTTGGGGCTGCTGCAGCGGTGTGGTCATGAATACGCTACTTTGAGACAATCTATTGACAGGGCCTGACGGGCTGTTCAAGTGAGAGGCTGTTCGTGATTGGGAATATGTGGCTTGAATATTCAGACTCATGGTAGGCACAGTTTGGGCCTGGGGAGTAGGTTGACTTTGTACCTGCCTTTCAGCAGCCCCTGATATTGGCGTATGCAAACCGCCTCCGTTAACGTTCATGAAAATACCATCATTACGGTTGGCTCCTGCAACCCACGAGGGCCCTGCAAAACTAGATGAATTCATAGGAGAACTTGCGGTGATATCTGAACGATTAACGGTTGGATATCCCACAGTATCACCTCGGCCAACCACAGGATGGAATGTTTGTGATGAGAAGACTCTATTTTCATTGATTGCTTGTAGGGTCTGCAAATCAGGCTTCCTTTCTCGTTGCTGGAATTCATCGGCGTTCTGTCCTAATCCTGTTACCTCCTCGTCACCAACATCAGAGAGATATATCACTTTACATCCGTCTTCACCCCCTTCAATCACATCAGGACCTGTATTACTCGGATCCTCATCTGTGGGGACAGGCATCCAGGACCCATCCTGCGACACTATGACTTCATGGATTTTCTCGTCTGTTTCCTGGAGTACCTGCACTTCCAGAAAGATTCATCAGCATTCTGTAAACCCTGAAAATATCTTCACTATCGAAATCCCAACTTGGTTGTTCAACACACAAACAAAGGTGGAACTAACCTTCTCCATCTGCCGGTCTATTCGAAGGTCAGGGCAACTGACGGAACGGTTGCAGCATGGACAGCGCCACACTGGCCTCTTCTCATTGATCTCCAGGAAGCTATCAAGATCGAAGCACTGTAGCAGAAGCATATCAGCATATTTTTGAAATAAAACATAGTTGAAGAAGGGACTAAACAGACTTCGTGCCCCGTACTATTTCTTGACTTCTCTACAATGTTTTCTCATGGTCAAAAAAAGAGCCACCACATGCTCAGTCACATGGATAATGCCAAAAACAAGAGAAAAATTGCTGAATTCAGGAAAGGATTATAACATATATCATCACTGTGCACTTCAGAAATTCTCCAAGCACACTGTGGACAGTAATAGGCCGCTTCATGACTAGGGAAACTGGTACTCATCATAAATGTAGTATCAACCACAAAACTACCAGGTTGTATTTTGCTTCTACTGTACCCATTAGTTGAAAGCAACTTAGTTGTCTCATGTATACTTGGAGACTTTTCGAGGTCTACCTTAAAAATCAAACGTTCTACATCCACATGAGCATTACGCCGTGTATTGCAAAAATCGAAACAACTGACACAAATGAAGCGATGAAATAAGAAGAAAAAGTAGATGAGCATCACCTGTAAATGTCTGCATGTTGCCGCTTTCACTGGCGTAACCAACCGCTGATGACTATTTCCAAGCAATAATCAACAATAAAACCAGAAAGGAACAAAACAAAACAAACGAAAAGACAGAAAAAATTACAAATAAAAACAGCGATAATCAGTTGTGAGTAGTCTAATTCTGAAACTGGCTTTCCGTTAAACGATTATGACCACAGCTCGTGGAAGTTTCAAATACAAGACCCATATACTAAGACAAAAAACTACCAAGAAGTAAAGACGCAGCATGCACTGAGCAGAGTCGAAAAACAAAGCTATAGTACGTACTCATTACCTCACAGAGAGGAATATGAGATTCTTTCTGCCAGAGTTTCTATGATAGTGAGCGCAGCAAGGAATGCAAATACTAGATCAGCACCTGATGGGACATCGCAAAGAAACTCTAGAAGCACCTTCCACCACCTCATCATCAATCTCAGTAGGATCTACGTCATTTGCAGCTCTTGAAGGGGCAACATAGTCCTCTAGTTGTGTATTTCTTGAAGACCATTCTATGGTTCTTGACGAGGCCACCGCTATGACATATGGTACTGCAGGTGAACAAACCTAATATTATCACATCAAAGGTTTAAGGTAAATTATTGAACACTCCAGAATCTCCAACCGAATTGGAGATACTTCTATGAGATGTGGTGACAAACTTGTACAAGCAGGAATTGCTCATCTTTCAGAAACTTTTAATAATTACACTAAAAATGTGCATCAAACAATCCACCGCTAACAACTGAGTAGGTTAAAAACTGAGATTAAATGTAGTTGAAAACAGACCAGAAAAGGTGACCATGAAATTGATTCAATACGATGTTGACACTCATGGTCTGCATACTGTGGTGGTTAATTTAAGTGTCTAAAGTACAGCGAGGAAAGGTTAAAAGAAAAAATCCAACTGCAAACACGAAATATTTCTGTATGAAATCGTGAGAAGGCAGAAATTAAAAAGCCAATAAATTTAAGAACAATCTAATCTTAGCTTGCAGCATGGGGAAAAGCACCAACTAGGCAGTTGATTACCAGAAAACTCCCCAATAACTTGCAGAACATTAGCTCCCACTTTCACGAGCCTTGTCACATCCGAAGGCATCTGTGGACCAGCGTCCTGTGTTATACATGCCACTTTCTGTGAGAATTTTCCTGTGAAGTACGTGCAGAAGGAGTGATCAGTGCGTTTGAAGATGCTTGAGATCCGCAACACTGAATCTGGGATGCAGCCTTACCATGTAATTTGTAACGAACCTCTTCTCTACTTGCAAACCGTTTATCAAGATGCTGCACCCCCAACATGATTGCATAGATATTAAAACAGAAACAAGGAATTAAGCAGACAGTTCACCGACAACTCAGAACATACATCAATCGATATCTACACGATTCAGAAGGACCTTAACACACAGCAACTTGGAAGTTCTTGAAATAACATGAGTGTTAAGGTGAGCCTTTTGCAAACCTAACTCAACAATCAAAAAACAAATGTAAAGAAGGCATTTGATTGTTGATACATGCTGAAAAATGTTAAAGAGGTAAAACCGAGTGAACAAACAAAAAAATCGAAGCCCAAAACTGGCAATCACGGGAATGAGAATGCTTCTTAAACTGGCAAATGAACATCATGATCTTATTTGTAGCAAGAACTGGGCATCGAGAGCTGGATATTTATAAACAGGCTTCGATTGTTTGCAACTTGATCAAGTTCAAAATTTTCGGGATCTAAGCTAGTTTCTGAACTGAAATTCAAATCATTCCCTTCCCTAGAAAAAATTAGAACTAGCTGATCCAGGAGAAAACTTGGAGAATATGTTTACTTGACTTGAGGTGGAGTAACGAGGCAATTAGCAGTTCCCGTCGTATATTTTTGACCGACGTATAAACGCTGCACAAATCACCCACTCAGAGCATTTTAATATGTTGTACCAACAAAAACGCAGTGCAACAAGGCATATACGCACACCTCCAATTGAGAATCATCGACATCATCAACATACCCTGATAATAGATGCCCAGTACATCTGCATTTTGTGCATTAAAAATACGCATGATAGGATGTCTAAACCTTCAAATAGACTACTCGAGATTAGAAATCATAATTCCAAATATACATCAAATAGTTTGTTCATGGAATCAAAAATAATTAAATAAAAATTAGGGAGTGAAACATACCACTCGATCCAACATGTGCATGTGAGGCACATGAAAATCGCACATCAAGACTTCATAACCAACCTACAAAAGTCATTACGGGACATAAACATTCAATGTACTGAAAGAAAAAATGTTAACTTTCAAAATAGACAAGATTTTCTTGTGAAATTTACAATCCACCCAAAAGCCTTCACCATACTCAACAGCTGTGTCAAGAAGTGGTAATACAGAGTAACAAAAATTCAAATATTAATCATAGACAAGAAGTGAAGCATGAAAAAGGTTGTCTGAGTTCAAAATTATAAATAATAATAAGACAACATGCCAGTGATCTTTCAATGAAGGCTGATTCATGTGAACTGAAAGAAAACCTTCGATTGAACAGCAACAAAAATCGCATTAACTTGTAACCGGGGATAATACCTGCAATGATTCACATAACCATGCAATCAAATTTTCCACATAAACATCTATGCCATGCATAAACTATAATTCTGAAGATTAAGACCATTTCTGCCCCAACAAAACTCTACCAGCGAATGAAGAAGGCAGACCAATAAGACATGAATTAAATCAAGTCATCAGCCTTGAAGAGTATGCATAAAAACAGAATCAAGCAGAGCCGTAAAGTACTTCCTCCCCCAAATACTTCACGTACCGACTGCTGATAGAATTAAGATACATCCCAGACTCATGATGATCCTTAAGGGCCGATCCTCCACAGTGGAGAGGTTGCGCTGGGGCTTGTCCGGCAACATCTTGCCCTGTTGTGAAAGCATCATAGAGCTGCACAATAATGGAATGAACATCTCCATTAACAACAAAGGCTGAAACCTTGACCCTTCAGGCTCGACCGCTTAGGCATGATTATACGGGGTTATGGCTTACAAATAAAATAAAACAAAAGGAGGAGGTACATGCGACATTATCCAGATAGTACATCAAGATTCGTCAAATGTGTTGATGTATCATAGAATGTAGTGATTGGGGGTACATAACAGTGGTTAAAAGCATCACCCTTTGCTTTATGGAAGCATTTGGTGATCGTTACAAAGAAAAGATTCGTACGCAAGAAGATATCCAAAACTCCTGATGATATCTTCTATATTTACTAAACCAGAATCCGAAACCCCTGTTTACCTCAACACTTCTACTGCTCACACCAGAACTCCTTGTCCACTGTCAAAAATCTATGAAGTAGGAGGTGGACACAGATGAGTAAAGAGATTTCCTCAATAATAAAAATGTGACTCAGAATCCAGAACTCGTTACTCTGATTGTTGCCTCTTACTCTGCCTACATCATGTACAGCATACATGTTCTCCAAGAGACTCAATCAGCGCTAGCAGAAATTGTACCGATTTCAAAGTCGCAAATATGTCATCCTTCTCCTTGGACTGTGTTTGAGACAACCATTCTGCTCGGAATGCACTCTGACCCAACCAGAACCGATCCATCACGTCAGCGGAATATATTTGACCAGACACCGATCGACACCAGATAGCGGTGAGAGAATTCGAGAACACAGACGTAAGTGGCAAATGCAATTAAGTTCTCTGGCAAAAGCCATGTGCTCACATGACGTTACTTTGACCCTTCAAAAACACACGGCATTAATTGAAAAAGCAGATTACTACATCAACATGACAAAACAAGGGATCGAAACATTCCTTGCAACAACCAGGATAACGATCGCTAGAGGCTATTGCTATCCATACATCCCCTCCAGACAGAATTTCAGATGTGATGTGTGGTAGATCATCTTCTATAAGCAGTTTCAAAGGAAGCTTGCAACGAAGCACTCCGACGTACCTTGACCGATAAGAGTAATACCAGCAGCGCTGGTCGTGCATCTGGAATGTTCTTGAACTTGCAAACCTGCGTTAGGTACAAAAAAAATTTTACTTCACTGTACAATTAATACAATTAGATTTAGAAGAATATGGATGCACAAACTTAACGCCTTTGAGAACTCGATACACCAATAAAGGGGGAACAAAGAAGGGAAACTGCTAATACATATGGCAAAACATTTCAACTTAACTAGCGCTCTTTAGCGAGCGAGCGAGCGTGAGGGTGAGGAAGTAAAGGGGCTCTAGTATCCAGCGAGTTCATTAGTTAATGCAGGCAATCTCATGAGCAGCATACAATATAATGTCCATATCCAGAATAATTCTAACCTGCTGAATTAGTCGAAGCAACTCATGTCTGAATACAGGCCTCGTATTGTTCGCCACCAAAGAATCGAGAATTCTGCACAGTCCACCATTGCGTCCTGATGCTTCAAAGTAGGCAATTGACCTTCGCCAATTGCAAACTCTTGACCAATTTTCTTGAATCACTCTCTAAAGATCAATCACACGGACAAAAAGCTGCACATATCTCTTGAGCACTTTTCGACCGTGTCCCAACAATCAACAAATAACGATTCATAGAAACCCTCACTCAATCACAAGACAAAAAGAAACACTAGTCCAGACTTACTTAGAGAGCAGCAAGCACTGGTTACTCATGTACTTCACATCCACATGCGAAATCGGAGCTTGCAGTATGTTTTCCAGCACACGCATTTGCTGCATGAGAGCTTGGTCCGTCCATGGCTGCAGCAGAGCTACATTCCTACCCAACTTCCTCCTCGAGCTCCTAGTGACCATTGATAATCTGTTGCGGTATCACTTCAGCATCTCATTTATCTTCTCTCTCGCGATCCTCCACGCTCACCAAAACCCCTGACACCTACAAAAGTAACAAGTCTTGACTCATCACAGTAGAAAAATGGCTCCACAGCAAATTCAGAACTCTGCACCTACTGAGAGCATCAACACATCATTCAGCCACGGAATTGAGCCCTACATGAGAAGCTCCCGAGCAGCCTTCCCGTGACGCAAGTGCCGCAATCACCACGACGAGGGGAGGCAGGAAGGGGGAAGGGCAATGACTGTGAAGGTATTGAATGAAGTGGCAATGGCGATGGCGATGGCAGAGACAAGGCCAGTGCCAGTATTCCATGGGAGAAACCCTAACGAGGAGGTGCTGTGGGAAAAGGGTTCCTACTTAATTTTGTCCTGCACTGGTCTATATTGCTGTTTCTAGAAGCTTCATGTGTGTGGGATATATCCCCCTTGAACAAATATGCCTCACACAAAATCTGTTTGGTCCTTTGTTTATTTTTATTTAATTATTGATTTTTAATTTCTTCTATTTTGGATTTCTTAATCGACGGCTCAAATTTTTCTGGAAAGCAATTTCGTTTGTCTACAAGGTTCACTAATTGAATCTGGATGTTTTGGGAGTGATTTGTGGTAAGAAATCCCAATTTTATATTTTTTTAGAATAAAATATTTATTCCTGGTGATATGGTCAATTATTAAAATTATTACACTTTGTTGCACCATAAAATTGCTATACAATTGCAGTTACATTCCAATGAGAGTATCAAAAATAATAATGATAAAATTTCTTGTATTTTTATTGAAGAGCATTTAAATGATTTTTTTAATGAAAAATTTTAAAAAATATATTTTGGATTTATTTAATTTTAATTATAATTCCATTTTTAAAAAATAAATTAAAAAATTAGATTTTACTTTTTTTCACTTCTAGTTGACTTTTGATGATCAAAACTACTTATAAAATACTTTTTGACTATTTTCAATTCAAATTTAAGTTTTATAAATAGGTCTACACACATATCAAAAGCACCTAAATAAAATAGTTTTTGTACTAAATTAATAAACTTAATAGAAATACAAAATATATTAATTGAATATGATATTTGTTATTTTATAATTATATAAAATTACATAATATTTAGATTATAGTATATTAAATATATTTTAAGAGTCCTTAAAAACAAACTTGTAAACTAAGCTTATTAGAGGATGAATTTTTAAAAAGAGTGTTGATCCAAACAAAGAAGTTAATTAAAGTTGAACAATTTTAAAACTTTCAATTTATTTATTTCACTTTATTGCATATGGATTAAGAGTAAAGAATGTAGCCCAAAAGCCACAAGAACATGAATTAATTGTCTTTCTACAAAGTATAGTCCAAAGGTAGATTGACTTGGCAAAATAATTAACATAACTTGATATTTTAACAAATTTTGATGTTGTTATCCAAAATCAAGCAAATGACCTCCGAATTGATAAGATGTCACGGCCATAATCATGTAAGCTAATAATTACATATAGAAATAGGTAGAAGTAAGTAAAAGTAGATAAAAGTAAATTAATTCTATAATATTTAATATGGAAGCTTCCTAGAAACTTCTTAGAAACTTCTTAGACGCTGCTTTGACTTCATAGGTGTCTTTAATTGACTTTTTGGATTAGAAACGTGGTCAACAAGTTGGCCATGTGCCACACATGTTGTTAGCTTGAAGATCAAGCTAACTATGTGGCCCACACGTAGAAAAACTTGCCTTGTAAGTCAAGGCATGTGTCCTACAAAGTCAACACATATTGGAGGTCCTATAGAACGTCGCCACGTAGCCCCTAGTTAGATAGTATATATAGAGACAAGAGTGAAGGCTTCTTCACTCTTGTCAACTCCTTTCTTGCTCCTAGTCCAGGTTCAAGAGTCTTTAGTTTCTTGTCTTGTGGCAATAGCCATTCCAATTTCCTTTTAATATACCTACTTGTTTATATTTTGACTTATTATATCGAGATAGCCTTTTTGTGTATATTTTCCCTCATCGAGTCTTTGTCCTTGACAGATTGACAAGAGTACACTTACAATATCAGAGCTTTGTTTTTCTTGAGTAAGAGTGGATTACCCCTTTCTCTTGACAAGACATAAGCGTATTAGAAGTTTACGGATTACCCACTTCTAAACTGATATTGTTCTTAGTATCTTCTTTGTTATCAAGTCTTTCTTTTCTTTTGTCTTGAGCAGTATCAAACAAATTTTTCTTCTTAGTGTCATTATGATAGAGCTTGTTGAAATGAAGAGTGCAATGGCACAAATGCAAGAGCAAATGAGGGAGTTAATGCTTGCGATGCATCAACTCAATTCACCAACACAGGAAAGAACAAGGATAGCAGAAAGTGAGGATATAGAGATGATCGGAGCTGCTTCAACATCTACAACAAATCACGTTCTTTCCCCAATTGTACAACACCCTGTAAGCACTAGAAAACCAAGAATTGCCTTACCCGAGAAATTTGATGGTACAAGATCAAAGTTTTGAGGGTTCATCAATCAAGTACAATTGGTAATTGAACTTCAACCGCAAAGCTATTCAACTCAAGGATCACAAGTCAGGTTTATTGACATTCTACTTTTTGGTTCAACATTATCGTGGTTTTCGTCTTTTCTTGAACAACGAAATCCAATATTGGACAATTTGGAAGCTTTTTTGGCGGAGTTTCGATCTATGTATGGTGAACACGATGCAACTCGTGTTGCAACAAATAAGATCCGAATTTTGCGACAAAAAAATTGCTCTGTAACAATATATGCTTCACAATTTCGACAACTTGCAATTGACATCAAGTGGAATGATGCTGCACTCATCAGTCAATTTCTTTATGGATTGCAATACGAAGTAAAGAAATTGATGCTCAACTTACCTGATCTTCAAACTTTGAATCAAGCAATCAATTTTGCGGTAAAATGTGATAATCGACTTTTCGAATTTCGATCCGAAAATCATTCACGGGAACCTCAACGTTATTACTCAATGGCAACATCAACATCTTTGCCAAACGTACATTCGGAAGTAGAAGACATGCAAATTGACGCGGTACGTTTTAAACCCCTAACTGAGCAAGAAAAGATTCATCGTCGTCAAGAAGGATTATGTTTATATTGCGGAGAACCTAAGCACACTGCTCAACATTGTCCAAAGAAACGACGCAACTATAAAATGAAGGGTACGGTGGTCAAAGAAGACAACATGTCGGAAAACGGATTCGTCCAGCTACAATAGGGACCGTGCAGCTGGAACCTTGTACAATTCCTAATGAAGGTCCTATCCTCTCCTCAGAACCCTCTCCTTGTTTTATAATAGACTTATATTTAGGACCTAAGAATTACAAAGCCTCTGCTTTATTAGATTCGGGAGCCTCAACATGTTTTTTAGATGAACAATTTGTTAAAAGTCGTAAAATACCTTTTATACAGAAACCTAAACCAGTACATGTAGAAGTCATAGATGGTCGTCCCTTGTCTTTTGGAGATGTCACTCATGAAACTCATCCTATAAAAGTAACAATAGACGATCATGATAGCTACATAGCTTTTAACATAATTAAATCCCCGTCCAATGCAGTTATTTTAGGTTTATCTTGGCTAGAAAAATATAACCCTCGAATAGATTGGAATTCGCGTAAACTTGACTTTTCCCAGAGCGTTATTAATAATTCTACCAACCAAGTAAAAAATTATAAGTCTAGTATAGTAAAACCCGTACTGATAGGTGCAAAAGCATTTATACACGCAGCAAAAGAAGGATCAACTTTTGCTATTTATGCTGCACCTATTTCTGAAAACGTAAAGACTTCAAGTGGTATTCCAAGTCAATATTAAGAGTATCAAGACGTTATTGAAAAAAAGAATGCAGATATTCTTCCTAAGCATCGCCCATATGATTGTTCAATCGACCTCAAGGAAGGAACTCAGCCACCATTTGGACCAATTTACAGTTTATCGCAAGATGAGTTGGCTAAACTCAAGACATATATTGACGAGAATTTAGCGAAGAATTTCATACGCCATTCAAAATCTCCAGCAGGAGCTCCAATTCTATTCGTAAAGAAAAAAGATGGATCTTTACGAATGTGTGTTGATTATCGAGGACTCAACAAGATCACAATCAAGAACAGGTATCCATTACCTTTGATATCAGGACTCCTTGACCAGTTGAATCAAGCTAAGATCTATACAAAAATAGATCTAAGAGGAGCATATAATCTAGTACGGATCAAAGAAGGAGATGAATGGAAGACTGCGTTTCAAACCAGGTATGGACATTTCGAATATAATGTCATGCCATTTGGACTCACGAATGCACCAGCTGCTTTTCAACATCTCATGAATGATGTATTTCATGAATTCTTAGACAATTTTGTCGTCTGCTATCTAGACGATATCCTGATCTATTCTAAGAACGTCAAAGAACATGAAATACATGTTCGTCAAGTATTACAAAAACTTACAAATGCAGGATTGTACGCCAAGATGATAAAGTGTGTATTTCACACTACTCAAGTTGACTTTTGAGGATACATCATTTCAAATGATGGTCTCATGATGGATTCTAAGAAAGTCCAAACAATCATGGATTGGAAGATTCCAAGGACAGTAAGAGATGTCCAATGTTTCTTGGGATTTACCAATTATTATCAGATCTTCATCAAAGATTTCTCATGAGTTGCAACTCCACTTACACGTTTGACTAGTAAAGATAAATTCCAATGGAATCAAGAAGCGGAAGCAGCATTTGAAGCTTTGAAGACATCGTTTGTCTCTGCACCAGTCTTATATCGTGTTGACTTTTCCAAGGCATTTTTTATGGAAACAGATGCATCAGATTTTGCCTTGGGTGCAGTTTTATCACAAATGGGATCAGATGACAAACTTCATCCGATAGCTTTTCATTCAAGAAAATTCTCAGCAGCCGAGATCAATTATGAGATCCACGATAAAGAACTGCTTGCAATCCTGGATTCCTTTCAAGAATGGCGTCATTATCTAGAAGACGCTTCTAGTCCAGTCACTGTGTATACAGATCACAAGAACCTCGAGTATTTTATGTCAGCACGCGTATTGAATCGTCGTCAAGCTCGTTGGAGGACCCTTTTCAAGATTTTAAAAGTGGACATAAAGCTATCTTTGGCTTTCCATCCTCAAACTGATGGACAAACAGAGCATGTAAACCAAGTCTTGGAGCAATATTTAAGGTGTACTATCAACTACCAACAAGATGATTGGACAACCCTTCTGCCATTGGCAGAGTTTGCTTATAATAATACGGTACATTCTTCCATGCAACAAACACCTTTCTTTGCCAATTATGGCTATCATCCACGACTTGATACTTTTGATTTTTCAAAAGTTGATAATCCTGCAGCAGAAGATATGGCAAATCGGTTGTCAGAGTTACATGCAATAATGAAGACGCAATTGAAGGAAGCTCAAGAACGACAAAAGATAAATGCAGATCTATATCGTAAGGAGCAACCACAACTCAACGTGGGTGATAAGGTATGGTTACTTTGTCGCAATATCAAGACTACTCGACCTTGTGACAAGTTGGACTATCGTAGGCTTGGCCCCTTTTCTGTTTCTGAACAGATCAACCCAGTTGCATATCGGTTACATCTACCGGAGTCAATGAAGATCCATCTTGTATTCCACGTGTCTCTTCTTGAACCATATAAGACAGTGGATATACAAGGAAGAAGACAAATGCCACCGCCTCCTATAGAAGTAGATAATAATGAAGAATTTGAGGTGGAAGAGATATTAGACTCAAGGCGACACCGAAATAAGCTGAAATATCTTGTTCATTGGCGCGGATATGATATTAGTGATCGCACATGGGAGCCATCCAGGAATCTAACAAATGCATCAGCTAAAGTCAAAATTTTTCATCAACGACATCCATCAAAACCAAGATGAAAATCTCTCTTATAAAAGAGACAAGATTGAGGCAAGATAACATTCAATTTTCTATCCTTGTTTGTAACTTCTTTGCATTTGTGACGCTAATTAGATGGAGAGCCAACAACCAGCGGATTCAACTCAAGAACCTTCGTTTGTTGACCTGCCAGACGAGACATTACGATTGTCACAACCTTCAAGATGACGCAATCGAGATGAAGTTCTTCAAGAACGACATGTTCTTCCTCGAATAGATGGTGAGATACAACGCGTTTGGTATCACGATTTGGGAAGGGACTCCCAATGTTTGGTGATTTTGCTAGATGTAGGAACAACTCCTGATGGTCTTTCAAATATTCTATTCGAAGGAAGTTACGAAGGCCTCAACAATGATCAAATAACTGGGTGGTCTTCCCGCCCTGGTATGGGACACTACTGATGGTTGAAAGGCCCTATCAATCATCTTCGAAGAGAACAGAGATCAGAGTATGTGGCGAATTCTATTTGTCGCATCATAGATTTCTTCAATATATGATGACCGCTCCTCGTGGAACTCGTCTCTAGAAGAGGGGGTAATGTCATGGCCATAATCATGTAAACTAATAATTACATATTGAAATAGGTAGAAGTAAGTAAAAGTAGATAAAAGTAAGTTAATTCTATAATATTTAATATGGAAGCTTCCTAGAAACTTCCTAGACGCTGCTTTGACTTCATAGGTGTCTTTAATTGACTTTTTGGATTAGAAACGTGGTCAACAAGTTGGCCATGTGCCACACATGTTGTTAGCTTGAAGATCAAGCTAACTATGTGGCCCACACGTAGAAAAACTTGCCTTGTAAGTCAAGGCATGTGTCCTACAAAGTCAACACATATTGGAGGTCCTATAGAACGTTGCCACGTAGCCCCTTGTTAGATAGTATATATAGAGACAAGAGTGAAGGCTTCTTCACTCTTGTCAACTCCTTTCTTACTCCTAGTCCAGGTTCAAGAGTCTTTAGTTTCTTGTCTTGTGGCAATAGCCATTCCAGTTTCCTTTTAATATACATACTTGTTTATATTTTGACTTATTATATCGAGATAGCCTTTTTATGTATATTTTTCCTCATCGAGTCTTTGTCCTTGACATAAGAATTATTCCAACCATATTCCATAATCTCTATAGTCATGCTAATAAACTTGAATACACAACTCTTTATAAATATATATATATATATATATATATATATATAGGAAAATGTTTAAATTACACCCATTTACTAAATTGACCCACCCCATTATTACCATCATAAGAAAAATGGATTAACTCTAAAAACCATCATTACAATCATGGCCTTCATTTCCACCCTCTCATTCTTTCTATTTTTAGTCTTCATCATCCTAATCTTCTTTTGTTTTTCTTTCATTCTACACAATAGGATGGAACAACAAGATATAACAATTTAACTTTTTCCTATACATATCATTTAGTAATGGATGGATTATTATTAATATTTTCTTATATATATATATATATATATATATATATATATAATATCTTTTATTCATTCCTACAATTAAAAACATGTCTAATAATATTTATTCATCAATTGGATGCTTTGTGTGAAAAAATATAATTTGAAAGTTTGGACTTTCAAACTTTCTATGCAATCAAAGAATCAACTTTTTTTTAACTAAAAGAATGTACTAACATAAGAATAACTCAAGAATAGTTTTTGACTTGAAATCTAAAGAATATTTAGTATTAACATATATGTATTGATATGTTTGATACAAGTGTGATTTAGATTATGCAGAGTTGCTTAGAACTTACATTTCACATTATAAAATTCAATGTTAAAAACATAAAGCATATAGAAAACATTCGATTCAATTACATTTACAAACAATTTTAAAATTGTACTGATAAAATGTTCAAATTCATTTTAGTATTCCAAAGGAATTACATATTAAAGAAACAAGTAGACTAACCATTCAACATAGAAGTCACTTCATATTTATTCCTCACAGAACTTCCATTTCATTGACCACACAATTCAATTCATGCAGCAACCGACAGCCAGAACTCCGTTAAATCAGCTCACAAAACATGGGCAATCAACAAACCTCAGCTCCCACTTCCATTACAACAATCTAACCTAAGAAACTTACACCATGGAGTTACATTGTATGCCAATATGGGCCTTTATAACAAACCCAGGAGCCCCTCAGATTGCCAATTGACTTAACAATCTACAATAACCAAGAAGCATGAAGAAGAAATGCTCACGCTTCTTTCTTAATAATGCGGTTACCTCCTGTGGCCACCTTGTACAGGTAGAAGAGCGACATGATTCCACTGCACCCACCAAAGCCATATCTCAGTACTAGAGATATTCTAAATATCCTCATGACAATCCATATATTATTAACATAAATAGGACCTTTTGGTCTGCGTTGTTCTTTAGACTATGGATAGCTTCAATACATGGCCCAAAGATGTGTTTCGTAAGGTTTAGGGTTTCACACAAGATGCCGAGTTCAATGCTGGATTCGTTGCTGAAGAAGTAAAGCAGACTAGGTGGTGGCCAGAAGATTCGTACCTCAACGCAGCCACCATGCCGGCAGGCATAAATTTGGAGGTGACCATAAACCGTTGTCCCATAACCCACGTCAAAGCCACAGCCACAACTGCAATTCGGGGTGAACAACCAATTATGAAGAATACCCGGAGCTATGCACAACGTTGAAATGGAACTGAAAAGTTGCAATTCATTATTCTTTGTTCTAGATTTGTGTTACTGTAGACTTTTTTCATGTGATATGGCTCAACTACTCCTGATTCGAACAAAAGGGAGGCCCCAACCGCTGACACAATCATAGCAACCTTAATGAACTATTGCCAGGCTCTATGGCAGTTTAGTATTGCTTTCGTCATCGTTCTATTTCTCGAGTCCGCTAAGGTCACGATGATCTCTAAGCAGATACCCTCGTGAAGGCCATGACGCCATACCACATAAAATATTGACACCCCACAACTCTATGGATGCCAGATACCGACGTCAAAATCAATAGAGGTAGAACAATCTTACCCTAAACACATCAAACAGAGGAAAGGGGCTACTGAGGGATCAGCACTAGTGAGTGCTGACTGCGTTGACTGATGATCGCTTACCATAAGCTTCTTCAAAATAACGTCTCATGAACTCTACGGACACCAAAAGCATCAATTTCGAATGCAAATTGACCTTCTAGAATCAAAAAAGAGCAGCACTAGAATTCGAGCATTCTTTCCGCCACAGTATCGCACAGGGAATACTTAAAATAGTTACAGGATATTGTCCCAATGTCGATCTTCGAATAACATTAAACAAGCAGCACTCTTCATAAAGGGATGAAAGGCCTCAAAAAAACACACGTGCAATACACAGTTGAAAACGTCAGTACCTGTTTCAAGGAATAGAGCCAAACTGGACTTGGACCCTCGCAAGTAGTCTTGGTGGCTCTTGTACGCGGCGAGAAGGAGCAATGCGCCGCTGCCCACGCCACCCATCAACGACGTCGTGCTACCCTTCCTGAGAAACCCGAACAAACCCCCGAACAGCACCAAAAACCCATAGGGATACGTGAAGCAGAAATCGTGCATTCTGACCGTCGGGTCGTACTCTGTCGCCTCTTCGCTAGATCCAAATCCCGAACCCTCGCAAAGCTACAATCCCCACGATTTCAAACCAGCAGAGCGCGGAAACTCAGAGACGAGCAAGAAGAGTTGGGTCGCAGGATTGCGGTGCTCCGTTAGCAGATGAAGACGATGCGCATTGAAGCCACTGATTATGTTGTTTGTCCGTGAAGGATTGATTGCGGCGAAGGATCCTCCGTCTTGGTCAAGGGTGGCTGGCGTTGTCGCCATAGCCGTAGCCACAGCCAGACGACACCGGTCCCAAGCAGCCCCCATTCAGAGCTTTGACTTCGGCCATAGTAATAGCCACATCCATAGATAAATGAATAATGGACGGGAGTGCAGACGGATGGATGTGCGATGGATAAATACGTAACTAGTTTCTATCTTTTGGGTTCATTACTAATGAATGTTAAGGCAGGAAAAGATAGATTATCAATAAAAAAAATGAGCTTTTGAAAATTTCAAGGTCCCATTCACAGTGAAGACTTTCAAGGCAAGAGTGGACATTGTGGTTAGCCACAATATGGGCTAAATTGGCAGAGTAAGAACAAAATTGTCACGGTTGAGATTAGCAAAAGCATTCGTATTATGGGTGCACTCTAATGAACAAGAACTACATACCAGAGTGCCCATTCTGAGTATCTACCAGAGTCAAGTTCACATACAACTGTCCAACACAGCGCTGGTGCCAACCAGATCAGTTCATGACAAATGCGGCTTATCCAAGTGCTTGTTTCACATTCAATCCAGTGTGGTGAAGAAAACATTCAACCATTATGATATACATGTGTTCTCCACTCATCAGTTACGCCATCAGAAACACTATATAATTTACCAAGGACGCTTCACAACGTTTTGAAGGACGTCCACCAGACTGCTCTATCTCACTTCACCCATTGCTCTACTTTTCCATTGAATCAACAAGAAAAAAAAATTATGTTCAAAAGAAACCAGCAACGGACACTGAAAATATTTCGTGACTGTTCAAATGACTTCAGCGTCACTCTCAAGATGATGTGAAAAAATAGAGCATGTTAAGTATGTTGAAGAATTACAAATGTACCTCAAACATTTAGAGCATTCAGAGTGCCAGGGAGTGTCTTTTTATAGAATTACAAGAAATGTACTTCAAAAAGTCGGAGATCATTAAATCCCAGGACTTAATCCGGCAGGATATTGATTACAAGGATGACTATTACAGTATAAATCAGAAATAGCCAATGTTCAATGACTCAAAAGTATAGTACACTTTCTCGCTTGACAAGCAATTTCCTCAGACTGCCTTCTCCCAATCATCATCATCGCCATCTGGCAACAAAGCTGGCAGCAGGGAAGGGCCTGCCAAAGAACCTTGTTGGCTGAACGCTCCAACTTGATTACCTATTCTCGCGGATGCAGCAGAGCTGTCGGCAATACTCGACCTTGAAGGCACAGATGATCCAATGCCTGATGTGCTTCCTTCTGAAAGCCCATTACTTAAAACAGAATTGTTGTTTGAAAGTGCGCTCCAAGGATTCTGAGATGCAGAAAGAGGACGAACCTTCGATTGCCAGGCACCAGTCTCTTGCTTGGCTCCTTTCTGGTCGTCCCAAGCATCTTCAACCCAATTTGACTCCTGTATACCTTTCCTGAATGCAGCAGCTTTAGATCCTGTCGGAAGAGAGGTCTGCATTCCCCAAGCCCCTCCCCTGGCGGAAGAACTTGCATCGGCTGGCATGGTTGTTGCTCCCCTGTATTCTGAAGCATGATCGACTCTCCTAAGTGCAGTAGCAGCTCGAGCAGCATCCGCAAATATGGCCAAAGCATTCTTATCGTTCAACCACACGAGCTCACACTCGCCGCCAAAGCGCAGTACAAGAGTGCTTACATCGGCTTCACGCGGAAGGTCAAGGAGCCCTACCACAAGACCAGGTTCCATGTCCAACTGAGCGTTGAACGGAGGAGCACGAACAGGTCCAGTGACACCTGCAAACGGTGTTTTTGGTAATAATGATCTCATCGGCACCTTGGACTTGGGTGTAACGTGGACAATAACAAATCTCCGAGGTTCACGACCATGCCCAACCTGACCTAACCCCCATCGTTCAGCCATCTGATAGATCACCTCCCTGCGCTCCTTTGGCATTGCACTAAAAACATGTAACCGAATGCTGCCTCCTGGCCACGTCCCACTTTTAGGTCCTTGTACTAAATACTTAAAACGGTCCTCTACCGCAGCTGCCCACTGTGGATCCCTTCTTATAATTTCAGCTAGTAAGTCGGATCCTACCACCCCTCCTTCTAAGCCAGGAACTGCCTCACCTGGTACACTGGCACCAAAAGCATCCGCCAGCAACCGCCGCTTCTCAAGTTTCGCACACTCATCATCACATTGTAATTTTCTCTGTCCCAAAGGGATTTTGTCTCTATCCCTACCTTCAACTGGCTGTAACGGAACAGGCAGCCTAGATAACATCATTGAAGTGATGTCATTTGTGCCACGTAAGTTCGATCCGCCAGCACCACATGCTACTTCAGCTGTTAACCGCCCACAAGAACAGGAGATGGTGACCATGAATTTACATGCAATTTCAGGACACGGAGAATTCGGATGGCAGGATGCAGCGCATGTGTGAGCGCAGTGTCTACGAGGAGCTCCACACTGTTGACCACACGAAAGGCCTGATTGTTGCTGACTAGAAGTTCCGGCTTCCAAGGAATCGCAAGGAGGAAGGTGACACGTTTGTTCACAAGCATGCAGCCCACACTGCCTCGTTTTACCACAAAGTTTGCTGCACTTTATGTCTCGCGAGCCACAGGGTACTCCACGAAGAACTACATGATTGCCGACACACTCTTTTGCAACAGCTACTGTGCAAGGCGGACAATCTCCAAAATGACACAGATGGGTTGCTTCATGGCCGCAAACCTGCAGAAACACAGCAATGGTATTTTCATCCAAATAATTAGTTCACGTGAACACTTGCTCATTGATTAGAATAAAAAAGATATGTAGTTCAAATATTTATATATGTTACGTAATAGGAAAATCTATTCATAAGGCGAAGAAATACAAGTAGCCCCAATTCAAGCATAGCCTTTCATATCTTTCATCTAAGCTCACCACGAGAACTAGAATTTCTAGCGCAAGGGAGAATATGCCGACAACAAATTCGACTAAAATAACTTAAATCCTTACATTACCGTTAATGTGACCCTAAGGTTGAAAAGCGAAGTTACTTGCCTGAGGTACTGAGCACGGGAATTGACAAGATGGCAATGGTGTCCCACAAGGAACCGGTGGAGGTATAGAAGTTCGCCCGCACGCACAAGACAATTCATTAAATGTAGTCTCCATGCAAGGTGGACAGTGTCCTGGATGACAAAGCTCTTGACAAGAGTGATTCTTGCATCGCAACTTTTTGCCACAAGGCAACATGCAGAGATGCGGATCACGACTTTCCGGGCCATCGGATTGGGTCATGGATTTATTATTCGCAGCTGGACAGCACCTGCGCGAGATAATTGTCGAAGGCACCTCAGACAACCGATCACAATAGGGATATGAATATAGCTAGACTAATAGACTACAAGTACAAATGTTAGTGCTTTGTAGAATAGACTTCAGCATCACTATGCACTGTAGAATCTACACCACAACTCTTATTTACAGCAAATCATACTGGCTAACAGGATAGGAATGAGCTCATGAGGCAGATAGCAAACGCTCCGTCGAATGAAACAAAAAACACACAAAAAAAAATAATAATAATAATAATAATAATAAATAAAAAATAAATGCATACCAAATCCATCCACTTCACTAGAAATTTGACAAGAATATTATTCTAAAAAAGGGACCATCACCCACCTGCCATTACATCTGTGACGTCCGCAACTTCGCATCTTATCACATTTCCTGTCACACAAAAATAGACCTCCGTCATCCCCTTCCACAACAGATTCACTGATCTGATTCCTCGATCCAGCTCCCGTTGCCAAATAGCAGGCAGCTCTTCGAGTTGACGTCCCACATCGACATCTCTGCTCCACTGGAACATCACAATCAGGACACGGCCCTATATGACATAGGCTCTTGCACGGGTGCTTCTTGCAAGCGAGAATTTTTTCGCAAATCTGCTGACATGTGGGAATAGGATCGGTGCAACACAGCCGCTCATTCCCGGGCTCTTGTGAATCTGCCAGGTTTTTCTTCCCACACGGGCAGGTGCGAACAACTGAAGGAGATAGCTCACATTCCCCGCAGTCTCCTGGATGACAATTGTTCCCACACACGTGATTGCCACATGAAAGCATCTTCAGGCACTGCATCTCACAAGAAAACACGCCTCCTGGATTGATTTTACCCGGAGGCTCGATTTGCCAACATCGCAAACCCTCTTCACGTCGTCCACAGAAACATTTCGCCTCAAAAAGAACACCACAAGGTTCACATACACCTTCATGACATATCTGGAGACAGTCGTGACGACCGCAAGGTAGTGGTCGACCACACTGCTGACCACAACTGCGCGCATCTTTTCCTTGTTCAGAGCAACGTCGAGTGGTAGTAGTTTTGCCGCAAGGACAAGACTGTGGAGGTGCAAGAGCTGTGCAGGGTGGACAAGGACCGGGATGACACTGCAGGGTACAGGAATGTTTACAGTAACCATTTTTTGACTTATCTAAAGGTTTCCTGCAAGGCCCTCCGCAACTATGAGGAGTAATGTAATAATCCAATGCAGGATCTCTCACTTGTCCGCAGAAACAATAGTACTGGAGTTCATTGGCGCTGGACATTTGAACAGTCTGGCAGCCTGGGCATCTCCAATTCGCTTCACCATTCCCAGCAGCAGAAACTGAGATATCGGATGACGTAGGAGCTCGTACCCATTTTCTTATACAAGGCATGTGGAAGATGGAGTAACAGCTTGCACACGACCAAACAGGAGCGTTCCTGCCCACATTGTCATAGCAAATCATGCATTCGACTTTCCCAGTTGCGAGCTTCACTTCAAGCTCTTGAACCAGCTGAGGAGTGTCAATCTTCGCAACATCTTTTTTACGCCCTGAATCAATCCTTCTTTCTCGCTCTTGCCCATTTCTTAGGAATTTGTTCTGTCCTGGTTTTGACGCTTTCATAGAGGACATTCCCTCAGAAGTTTGTTCATTCAAGTCGACTCTATTGGGAGGTTCATTGACACGGCTCCAACTGTTGCCACTCTCGCGACCTCTAGACCGGCTTCCAAATCTGTTCTCAGTATTTCTTCTGCTATCACCTCGCCTATCAGATCCAATATCACTCCCTCCACCTTGGTCTCGTCGCTCAACGCCGACATCGCCAGAAATGGACTGCCGTTGCGCATAACCTTGGTTTTGTCTAGAAGGTAAAGGCATTTCAAGCTCTAATCCATCCATTCTACTTCCAAAATCGTTGGAGTAAAGTCGGTCAAAATTTGGATCAATTGCACTGCGTCCATCATCTCTTCCTCTCCCAAAAATTTGATTTCGTCTGCCTCTTCTACCGTCAAATCCCCTCCGAGGATGAGTATGTGAATCACTGACGGACAACTCTGTTGCATTTGATTGCACCGTAGACTGCAAAGATAATGTGAGTTTTTTTTTTAATACTCAAGATTAAACCCTCATGCCATACGAAACCATGTGAACGTGACAATAACAACGCGAGAGAGAGAGAGAGAGAGAGAGGAAACAGAAAAAGAACGAAAAAGGAAAACTCATGAAGTCAGTGAAATCAATTTACCTTAAACCTAAAATTACATGGAAACACAATAGTACGGCAAACATTAAGTGTGTGTGTGTGTGTGAGAGAGAGAGAGAGAGAGAGAGAGAGAGAGGGAGCACGTAAACTCACCTCTACATTACCAACGTGACTTCCAGATTCGTCAACAGGAGATTGTCGATCAAGCACACGAACATCACCTGAGGATGAATGCGGTCTGCTAGACCTTCCTCTTCCCCTGCCCCTGCCAAAGGAAGACGGGCCTCCTCCCCGACCTCCTCTGGGAACTACGGAACCTCGCATCCCTCGGTTACGCTCATGAACCAAATTTCTAGCTCCATGCACGTTACTCGTTTGCGATAATACAGGCTGCTCTTCCACCGAAGCCATATTTCTAACACTTACGACAGAATCTAAAGCTCCTTGCTCCAGTTCCGAAAACTCAAAAGCAGAGATGGATGCACAGAGTAAATTCTCCAAAACCTCACCAAGGCCAAGTAATCCTAAATCAGGCCCTTCAATCAGATTGGATCAGACAAGGATAAAACCCTCTGGTTGCGAAGGCGGGGGCAGTTGAACTCCGAATGCAAAGATAAACCTACAATCAGATTGCAAGGAGCACTTCTAAAACTGCCTCCTTAAGTTACAACCCCTCACAAATCACACACAAAACACTCAGCCTCTCCTGTAAATGCCTCAGTGAAACCGAATTAAACTCTCAGCTTCCAGCGTCTTCACACCGCAACGATCCTAGGCTCCAATACACCAGATTTGAGCTTCACTCTTCCAAGAATGTTGAATCCAAGAACCGACTCTGACGAGAGTGGCCTCAAGGCCGGACACGCCCAGACCTAATTCCAAACCCTAATCATTTATACCAGCGATTGAAGAATGCCGTGGCCGCGTCTAAAACGGACAAGTGAATGATGCAGTATTCCCCAAGGCGCGGAAGATTCTTCGGCAAGCCAACGGACGTGCTGTGATAGAGTCCGTCGGAGGCACCCACGGAACAGCCCTCCTTCGTCGAACTTTCTCGAACTCTCCAAAGCCTATTGTACTGCACTCGTTGGGCAGGTGTCAATGCTTTGCATTATTCGCAGCGGACCGACTTAAACACTGGGTAACAAACAAAAGGACCCCATCCAAAGTAAAAAGTAGGCTATGATATCCTTTCAGAAAGTTCCTCTGAACTGACAAAATGAGGAAAGACGGAGGATACACACTGGAAGTGCGCAAGGATAGTTGTCACAAAGAAAAGAAAGCCCTCAATATTGTAATCCGGTAGTTGAAGCTTGAGAAGTGAGACGCTGCAGAAGGGAAACGCTGAAAGTGAGCCACATTAATGGGGGCTCTTCGAGTTCCATATCATGAATAGTCCCTTTCCTCCTCATCCCATAATACGTACATGCTTTGAAGTCTCGCATCTCACGGTGAGAAGGCCGTCTGTGGCGTATCCTCCAGAGAATTTGTAGAACATTCGTCTCTCCCTTTTCCACAGCTACTTCTTACATGCTCCTTGCTTGTCACTCTTCCTGCTTTCGCTACTGTATGTGACGATGCAAATGGTACACCATCTAGGGTCTCGGGAACTGCAATGCTAATGTCTAGATAGTCCCACTCACCAGCACAAGTTCTTTCTACGTTGACAGAATAGATCCAACGACTTCAACTATGCTCTGCGGAATGTCTAAGTACACAGAATGCATGATTCTTTAGTAATTTAGAGTAGCAATTAATATTAAATAACTCACCTTATCCCACTTCAGATATAATTACAAGTGCAAACTCCTGAAAAATGAAGATCGAAACCTGGATCGAAGAAATCTATTCATTCCTTGACTCTTAATTACTACAGAACAGTGATGTCAACTGCAAACATTCGATCCAAAGCAATGGACAAGTGGAATTCATCATAGACTTGGAACTAGACTTCAAAGACAACATCCCGCAGACGCTGTTGAAGTTTTCGGTTTGTGCACATCAGAAAGAGAAGAAGATTTTACGAAGTTCCCAAAGCAAGCCGTAGTGCAGAATGGTGGATTAGAGACCAAAAGATATGGAGAGTTTGATGCAATAGTCGATTCCGTCGGTTAGTCTTTACAGCAGTTGTCACGAGAATTGGGTGGCTGCTTTGACGTTTCCCCAGCTTTTGGGCTTCCGAAAACCTCCCGGGGCTGAAATTTCTGGGTTCACTGGTACTTCTTAATTACACTATGAATCCAACCATTTGGAGGCGCAGTAGGTCAATTTTTCACTCCAAAGAACAATCATAACAATTACGAACTCGACATTATGTATCATCCAACCTTGTTATCGACCATAACTCCATCAACTTGTACATGTGCAGAGCTTCCAACACACCTTATCATATTGTCTTGTGGAGCTTGCACATCAAGGCTTAAGAAAATTGCTGCGTTAAGGTCAGAAATGGAGACTGGAAAAAAATACGGTCTCTCAGATGACCAGAAGACCCTAAGATCTGTGCAGCATTTGGAAACGAAAAAGTTCAAGAGAAGCAGCGCGTGTCTTAGTTGAGCAGAAGCTAGATCAAATCGATTGGTGACTTCGATCGTCATGCCATGCGCTTGACCAGGCAGGTAGAGTATTTGGGTAATTACCAAAGCAGGTACAACAAATAAATAAAACTAGTATATTTCTAACCAAAATATAGAATGCATAGTAGGCAGTCAATTAGTCAGAGATTCTGAAGTCTTTTCCATTTAAATTCATCTAAAAACAATCGACGAAGACGAGTGGCTCAATCAAATGAGAATCACAAGTTTAAAGTGTAGAATAAAACATTTTTAACCACTGACGAATCGGCCAGATTGAAAGGCAGTGTGTGGAAGGGATTGTTGAAGCAGAATTTCTATCCCTTCTCGTCACTCATGCTCCTCAAAATGAACAAATAGGAGTAATCATTGTGTTACTTTATGCACTTTTTGTGCCTAAAGTTGCAGTCATCTTCTTCTCCCAAAGTCGCTAATGCATTAGTTCATAATTAAATGCTAAGTATAAAGTCAATTAGTGTCATGCAACCCCGTTGTCTGAACTGTACAGGCATGACAACGACTACTAAAACGACAATTATTGGTCTCTGACAATAAACATGGTTGTATGGACAGTCTGGCAACTGCTCCCCACACCCAATGCAGCAACCAGAAAAGCATAGATTGGTAATTTTAACAAGAATGTGAAGGTCAACATCAACAAGTACAACAGACATATTTTCTAGAATGATCGAACACAACATAAACACGTGCATACTGATAAATGGTTTAAATTTCACCTAGATATTTTTTATTCAAGAAATGAGAGTAGTAACAGGTGGAGAGAGCCGGTCATCAAACAAGAATTGTCAACCTCTGAACGGATACCAGGGAATTGGTCTGCCGAGACTTAGATTGAAGATCAATTGGTAAATGCGTGACTAAGAAACAGTCTCACCGTTGGTCCACACTCTGCTTTCTAAGGTTAGAAGAATATTCTCTCCAAACACTCCAATTGTGAAAATTGCAAGCCCGGCATCTTTATACCGTTGCAATCAGCAGTCTCTGAGCATTCGCAGGGAACACTCTTGTAACCTGCGACAATTTCCCCGCACATGAGAGACAGCAATACATTTGGTTTGTTATGAACTCTACGCATACTACTAATGCTTCAGTTCTATATTAAAATACAAAACCTAAACCCAAGAACACATCGGTCTCTCAGCTTCGAACCTGTAAAACTTGACCTGAACCGCAATCATAACAATATCATTGAACAAACCAAAATGACATTTTGCGAACTCTGTAACTGCAACAGTCAAATGTAATTTTCCTCGATCACCAGAATGAATGGCTTCGATTAGCTGATCTCTGCGTCGTATTGACAACTAAGGCCGAAATTTGCTGAATCTTTCCTTATTTCCTCGCTTAGTATATGAAACAAAAGCTGACGAGGTCTAATGTGAACCCGCAATCACAGTCCGGAACTGTTCACGGGTATCAACCAACATATTGATTGCAACGAGCCCATCAACATACTGCACGTCTAATCAGCTTCGTGCGCTAACCCTGCACGCTTCTCGTTCTCTTCAAGATTCAGGCAAGCGAAGAATGATAGTGATTATCAACACGGTAAAAGGCCCCCATACTTTGCACCCGATGATGATGAGTTCCAGCCGATATTTTCAAAACTTCATTTAAATCTGTCTCAATCCTGAAGGTATCTATAACCGGGTTACATGACTGAAAATATTATTGTACATCACATTCTCAGCAGATTTAAATCCTGCATGAAATAAGGTGGGCTGAATTCCTTTCTGGCAACTCAACAACTATTTGTTTTTGCAAGATTTTGGGTTGCAACGACATAATTTATTACTTTTCGAGCTTTAAGAGAATGCCATTTGATATGAAACAACAGGGATAACAATGCAGAAAAGGAGCAAGCATCTTATTGCAAAAACGGCTCACAATTTGGTTTGATATCTCTATTTCATAATATTAAACCAATATAACATAAAACATATACTCAAATCATACAACACTTGTAATGTATCTTAACTTATTGGCCTGTAAATCATGTATTCATTTAAGTGTATACAAACAAGTAAGATTAACTTTATCTTATTGATAAAACTTAAACATAATTTATAATATCATATAATCATCACTATATAAAAATATATATAACTAAAATTTAATGCACTTTTAAAATTTATTTTATACACAAACCTCTAAAAAAGTCTAAACATGTGTCCTCATCACATAATCTCAAGAATTTGATTAGTCTTAGGACATGTGATGTACTTGAGTCCCAACCACCACTCTATGTTGGCATGGTCAAACATCATTCTTGTGAAAAACGTCATGGGATCTTGTATCAATTCTAGCAATATGGAACACAAAAAAAATAGTTAGCTGAACATACCAAATAAAGAGACAATAAATCAAATTTAAAAGATTTTTTTTGATATTTTTAAGAAAGTTTTAATATTTTTTACTTAAAATTATACTTGAAAAACCATACTTTTAATGCAACATCTCATGCAATGGTTTAAAAAACAATCCAAAACAACATTTGGTTCATCAGTTGTATGCTACTCAATATAATAGATTGTCAAAATATATTGGCCATGAACTCTTAATAGATAGAAACACACAATAATGTATAAAATAATAGACAAAAAAATCTAAAATATTTTTTGAACATCTTGTAGATCAAATGAAATTGCTTTAAATAAGAAAACAATTGCTATCTAAAAATTTCCATTAATTCAAAAAAAATTAACTCAATGGATAAGAGTACATAATCATGATTGCACTTTTATTTTGTTAAACTCGATAATAGTAATTTATCTTTAAAGCATTATCAAATTAAAAAGATGATGTCTTATGCTTTAGTTGGCTAATCTATATCAAATAACTAAGCAATGTAAAATGTAATAGAACCAATAGATCCCTCATTTAAATGTTATTAAGATTTCAATATCTTTAGATGGGAGGTGTATCAAGTTATATGGTGTAGAAAGGCATTGTTAAGCACCATCTTTGATTTTTTATTGGTTTATTATTGAGTTACAAAAGTTTGCTTGTAGCAAGGTAAATTATTTTAATTAAAAACAAAATAATTTTTGTTACTAAAATAACGATCTATATAAAGCTAAAAATAACAAATAACTAATCATAACAAATAAAGAAATAAGATTATAGGATCATCCATAAAATTACAACGCATGTGATATTCAACAAAATCAGCCAAAAATTCTAAAGATTTTGGAATCAATAGGCCTTTAAGTTCAAACAAGGCACATCCCAACAAAAAGATAATCTAGATTAAAGATTCTTCTTACTAATTCTTACATAATCTTGTCTATTTGTGTTAAAAATTTGAGGTATATACCTTGGTGGAAGGACATATTTATACATAGACCATATTAGTATCCATCACTTAGTATAAGATATTTCATTAGAAACAATGAAAAATACAAAAATATAAAAAAAATGATGAAAAAAATATGAAAGAAAAAGAAGAAATTTAATCTAAAACTTTTCTTTCAAACACTTCCAAGCACTCAAAGATACACTATCAACTCTGTATTTTTTTTTTAATTTTTTTTAATTTTTTTAATTTTTTACTATTCTCAATACAATTCTTTTATTAATGATATATATTGGAAATTGATCCATGTACACTTCTTTTAACATGGCAAGAAGATGTTATCATAATGCCACATGTCTTGTTGCTACTATCAAGTTTACTCCAAACAAAATATACTTTGATTCTATCACCAACCACACTTATAATCTTTAATTACATACCACAATGCCAAATGCAAAATTTGGATTTTTTTACATGGCAATATAAATGTATCTAGTTCTAAATAATTAAACAAGTCAACAACAATAATTATTAGATGAAAGGATTTGTCCTTTAATAGTATTATCAATCTTTAGATACAATTAATATTAACTTGGTATTAAGGATATAAATCTCAAAAAAATAAAAGATCAATAAATTCTTTTGTTATTCAAGAAGACTAAAAAATCATTCAAAGATGATATAATATTAAATTGTAATGGCTATTGCCAAATACAAAAATATTAGAAAGTTTTGAAATAAAAATAAGTAATAGAAAGGCATTGATAAGAGTAAAGAAGGCTTCATTCTTGCCTCCAT